CCCATCGCCGGGAGCCGCGGTCGGAGGCGGCTGCACCCAGGCTCGGAGCCAGGCTGAGAGGGGGAGCGAGGCCAAAGCTCCTTCCTGCTCCTCTGCCCCTTTCCCTGCTAACCCAACTATCGTGTTTTATGATTTTATGCTTTTGTTTGCATCTTCTGTTAACAAAATGCCTGACTGAGCATTAGGGGCTTTGCAAACTGTACCTAGCACAGCAAATATGTGCCTTTTTAGGAAAGGTCTTTCTTCATTTTTTACTGATTTCTGATTTAAAAAAAAAAGAAATCATCTTTCAGGGCGAAAGGTTGCGGCCGAAGGAGGCTGTGGGAGCAGAGCCGGGTGCTGGGGGCGGCTGCTTTGCTCTCCCTCAGGGAGGCAGAGCCCTGCCCTGTCCCTCGGGCGCTGCTCAGGTGACAGCGACACGTGGGGGCAGAAAGGCAGGGGCAGGTGAAAGCGTTTCCAGCTCTGCTCTGTTTGCTTGGTTGAAGAAGGGGCATCTCCAGGAACTTGCTACAGTCTGAAAAGCAGTAGTGGTTTTTTTTTTTTTTTTAAGCATCTTATTCAAATGCTCCTTTCCCATACAGAAATTCTGTATGTCCTTTTTTTTCCTTCCCTTCTACCTCAAGGGAACCCAGTGCCCACTGAAAATAACTGTCAGGCACCTGACGCCCTGCAGACATTTATCAAAAGATCTCTGGTTTTCCAGGCTTTACCTCTCCCCTTTGAGGCAGTCAGCTTCGTGCTGCCTTTCCAGTGATGTGGTTAGCATGAATAAGTTTGTTGTTTGCTGTGTGATTACTTAAACCTCTTTGCCAGATGATGGGAAGTTGTGTGAGATCAGAATCTAACCCATTTTATTTCCTTTTATAGGACTCTAGCTTTGTAAAAGGAATTAAAAATAATTCTTCCCCCCTTCTCCTCTCCCTCCCCACTCTTTTCAGCATTAACAGTAGCAAAGTTGTCCTGCGTTTTGAAAGATTTGGCTTGGGAATCCTGGAACCAAGTAACCAAAAGCTATAGCTGGTGTGTAATGTGTGGTGGTGCCGGGTCTGCCTGCTCCTTCCACAAAGCCTCCGCAACCTTCAGAGCCGCTGCCGCGCTCCGCAGCGGGGCCGCCACGGCACCGGCCCCTCGGCCTCCAGGTCGGTCCCCCGTTGTCCGCAAAGTCCGAGTTCTGCCCGAGCACCAGCAGCTACATAAACAATGTTTACATTATACTCATGTGAACTATATTTTTTTAAGCATAATAAAAGGCGAATGGAGTTTAACTGCAGCCCTTCAACCAGCACTGTAAAGAGACCTCTTTCTAGTTCCCTGCTGCCCCTGTGGCATCAGCAGTCCCTCGGCGAGGGCCGCAGGGCCGCGCGCCGCGCCGGGGAGGTTCCGCTGGTGCAACGCGGCCGCGAGGGCGGGTTATCGCAGAGCTCGATGTCAGTGCCAGGACAGAGCCCAGGCCTCCTCTGCACAGAAATCACAGCACAGCCTGCTTGTTCTCATGTATTCCAGTAATGACTGAGCTTTAAGGAGACAGGGGTGGGAAAAAGCTTTTAAGCAGAGAACTGCCTTAACTCCCCTGCCGGCCCCCAGAGGGAGGCAGCCGGCGCGGGCGCCTCTCAGCTTTCGGCTGAACCGAAGGCCCCTCCGCTCCTGTCGGCTTCGCTGGAGCCGAGGAGGAGGAAGCGCCGCTGTGTCGCGCGTGGCCAGACCCCATCCGTGCCCTGCCAGGATA